TCTTTCAAGTGGGCTTTGTTCCATTAGCATATTTTGATGGTTTTGCACTGATTTTAGTTAGATTTGGAGCATTCGGAGGCCGATTCGAGAGGTAAAGGCATCGCGGGCTAGAGTTTGGACCGGATAGAGGTGAGTAATGACTGTAAATATTGTCCTGAGGGTATGAAACCCCGGATTTCACATCGTTGTGCTATATTGAGGTGACTCACATGCTAGATAACGAGCGTGCGGTCGAGCACCATTGGGGATTGTGACTTAGTCCATCCCGTATGACTATTTTACCACGTATTTGATTGAAAATTATTTGTTATCATCATGGTTTGGGCTGAATACTATATTTGGGCCTCGTGCCAGTTTTTTGGACCCTTAGGGGATATTCATTGCTATTTCCTCACTGTTTTAATTTTATATATGTACTCAGTCATGCTATTTTTCACTGTTTTCAAAACTCAGCCATGTTTACTCTATTTTAACATCTTAAATGATATTTTGGGCTGCATATTTTTTTACTTTGGTCAAGTGGCTTTTAGAGATTTTTCTGACTGAGTAGGGCCGAGGGCCTGTGTTGTAAGGATTATTATGGGATCGGGCTGCACATCGCAACACTGTTGTACTGATTATGATTATGAGGCCGAAGGCCTAAGTTGTACGCCACAATGTGGCTTGATATGAGGCCGGGAGCCTATTGATTATGCCACAAGACGGCTTGATATTGCGCTTGGGCCGTAAGGGACCCCTTTAGGAGTCTGTATACCCCCAGTGAGCGCGGGTACCCAGTATGATATATGATATAGCCCGAGGTGCTGGTGTTGTTCCATGTTATTGCCCGAGGGGCTGATTTTATGTGTTTATCTTTTCTCGCTGCTTTTCATTTACTTGTTTAACTGTTAAAAAGATGTTTTAAATAAGCTTATACTGAACTAAGGTGTTTTTATAAGATTTCACTATTTTATTGCATTGTATTGGTTTTACACTGCCTCTTTGTAGCATTTTGTTGTGTTTTTACATGTTTACTTATCGCTCAATCTTCATTTATTTTTTATTACTCATTGAGTTGGAGTACTCACATTACTCCCTGCACCCTGCATGCAGATACAAGAGCTTCGGGCCCTGCTAGCGAGGGCTGACTGCTTCCAACGGGCTATTCGGAGTTCACTAGGTAGCTGCTCGACGTTCGCAGCCCAGTGTTTCTCCCTCTTATCTTTATTTTCCCCTTGTACTGGATTCTGTAATAGACTGTGTAGTCCTTGTTTCATACTCTTAGACTTATGTTAGATGCTCATGACTTGTGACACCCCGATATCGGGCTGTGTTTATTTTTGCAAATGTCCTATCTCACTTTTATTTTGGGATTTATAGTATTTTACTGACTTAAAATGTATTATTATAACTGTTAAAATTGAATTGGGTGTTGTGTCAGCTGGCCTTGTTTCACGATAGGCGTCATCACGACCAGGTCCGGATTTAGGGTCGTGACAACATCGAAGCACGCTTTCGCGAGAAAACGGGGCGCGACATATAATACATCAAATAAAAAAATTATTTTAAAGATATTTTAGCAAAGTTGCTCATGGATCAATTTGGGCTAAAAATCAGCGCAACTTTAGATGGGCTAAGATGAAATGGGTCAAAATGAGAGAAGTTCAACCATGGGCGGGTTAATGGGCGGTCTAACCTTGAACGACTTGGCTGAATTGAATAGATTTGGGCTTAAATTGCTACCCCTACTAAGGAGTTACTTGTCTAGATGATGCAGTTCTCGAATGCGCAAGTTCATGTGGTCACTAAAAAAGAAGTTGTCCACCTAATCGTTTAAATTTAAATTAAAAATAGCCGGTCAATATATAATATATGTATAATATATATATATATATATATATGTATGTATATATCCAAAACTGATACAAAACTTATATACTTTTTTAATTACTAAATGTAAATAGTTTATGCGCAGGCTAAAAGTGATAATAATGTGCCTTTCCAGCGACGTGCCGAACTCGTTTCGAGGATATGATCCATATGTGATTCAATGTTTATACAAATTTAGAGGGAAAAAAAATAGAGAGAAAAATTTACTCAATTAACAAAATTAAGTTAAAATTCAATAAGTTTGATTTCTTGATCTACTAGAAAATCCAATGGCAAAGGAGAGCAAGAAGAGTAAATATTTAAAATTAATTCACTTCCTAGTCTATATCACCAATTTATTGAACAAATCTCTAGCTACAAAGTTATTTGATCAAGAACTGAGAATTAATGAATAATTAGTAGGGAATAATTAAACCTTTCTTTCCCATACGAAGTCGTGACAAGGACCTCAATAACTTTGTTGAAACTCCATCATATTTATTCTTCATTGATTTGCTCCTTAATAATAATAAATCTTCTTCTAATTTCTCTCTATTTATGACTATAAAAGAGTAATCCATAGATAATGATCTCCTTAATCCTGGAATTAATCTTCTTTGAGATGGTGATAATCTCCTCTCTTTATTAGGTACTACCAATGATACACAATGTCTAAGCATGCCATGACATTGTAATTCTGACGAAGAAGAAGAAGAATTTTCATGATTAATTTCCGACACTAGTAGGAGATCCAATAAATACATGACATGTGTCTCTGTTACTGAAGAACGACAGACAGGACAACTTGCATGCACCACGAACCACTGGTCAATACATGGCACGTGGAAAGCGTGCCGGCAATTAGGCAACAAACGTACCATTTCTTCATCTTCCAATTCACCTAAACAAATAGAACACTCATTTTGAACTACACGAAATAGGCCATTTTTGAGGATTGAATTATAAGCCAAAATAGGGATTTTTTCCAAGATTTTTTGGTCTACTCCCTTGGCTAAATTATGGGTTTCAGAATTTGGCCTTAGAACAGTACTGTCTATGGTCTGTTGTGTACTTCTCCTTAGGCAATATTTGGTTAAGATGAAATGGTATATTACTAATGCTAAAGCTGTGCAAAATATACCGATCATTGAAACAAGTAAAGGGGCAAAAAAAGATCTTGAAGTTGAGACTGGAGGATTATTATCTCTTATGTTTTCCATATGAAGAAAGATGATATATGGTTGTGATTTTTTGAGGTTTTTGCTTTTAAGGAAATGGTGTGAAGGTTTGCATCAGAATGAAACTTGAACTAGTTTATAGTATGTTGGAGTATCCCTTTATTCTAGCCATTTATATAATTAAAGAAAAAAATAATTATTTAGTTTATCTTTTCTNACACACAGAAAAAAAAAACTTTGAATGGTTCAACTAAATAACTGTAAGGGTTGGAATTTATGTTTTACTTATTTTTAATTTAGATATAGTATTAAATATCGATGAGTTTGACCAGAAAGAAAGATTTTTTGGAATTTGTGATATCGAATTTGTCGTGATAGGTTTATGGCTATAATAATATATTAAAATAAGAAATTTATAAGTTTATTTTTAAATATAAAAATGCAACGTTATATTTGTAATGGACTTATAATCAAGATATGGTTGTTCGAAGAAAAGGATATTCAACCATTTTTAGACTATTAGTTATTTAAATAAATAGTTAGTTCCAGAAGTGCAGACGTGCTAATTTATTAACTCCCCACTTAATCCTATATTCCTAGCCACAATTTTAGGTAATTTTTAGGTAGAGTTAGTTGTAAAATATTTCCAATAAAATGGGATACTTTTAATTATATATATTCTTAGAATGACGTTTTAGTAGGTCTATAGAAGATGTGAAGGATCCAAAGGTGTGGTGGGCTTTGCAACAAGTGGAAGTTATGGACGATAAAATAGAGAGAAAATAATAAGAATGCGACTATAGTGGAGGACTGATGTCTGCATGAGAATAAAAAGGCAGAGTTTGTTGTAAGAGTTATGCATATAGAAATTAATTAGAATATTATGTGATGTAACAAGAATTTCAGTTGGTGCTATCGACCTTTAATTTGTCATATTTGGATGTTTTTCTACTAGTTGGTCGGTTGATGCTGATGTATTATAGCTGTATGCAGGGGTAGGGGTAAAGCTAGAAGCCCGGCTATGGATTCTGCTGAACCTAATAACTTTTGTTCAAATAATATATTTATGTTAAGAAATCTATTGAATATGTACAAATATTAAATTTAAAATCCAGTTATTAACATTTGAAACCGTCATTCACAACCCATAAAGTTAAAATTTTGACTCCACTTTTGACTGTAATATTTGTATACATAGATAATTATATAGAGTGGCATGAACTGTCCATGGTTAGACATCTACATCTCAAATTGTAGCTCGTATTTGGCTCAAAGGAAGCTTAAGTTTAGTTTTAACAGTGTCAAACAATAAGTTGGTGACCTACATAAAATCCCTTTTCGGACTCTCTTTACTTTCCTGCTCTTACCATTCTTCTTGCTATAGGATTAAAGGTACATATCCCACTTAAACTTGACTTAGTTTGTAACTTGTACGCTTAAACAAAGATATTCTTTATTACAATCTCCCCCCCCCCCCCCC